GGATGTGGGGGGGGGGGGGGAAGGGGCAAGAGGGACCATCAAGTTTGACATTTATTAACCATTTGCAAAATGGCATCTCCACAGTGGCTCCCACAATTTTTAATGAAGAGTTGTTCAAAAATCTGTAGGAGAAATTCTGGATTTCTTCCAACCAATGGTAACAGTTGAACTTATTTAAGCCTTAGGTCTTGACCACAACTTCAGACAGAATTTTCTGGATACAGGAATACATATTTAATAAAGAAATATGTAGTAAGTACACAGTCACAGTATTATGAAGTCTGATAATTTCTGTAATTTTGCAGTTTGCATTATTTCATGCCTAAACTTTTCAAAATTTTCAGGAATGTAAGACTAACCAACTCCAAGACTTTAAGATGCTAATAATTACACAGCTAGTCAAGAAAATTCTCACAGTTCACGGAACCTTAAGTTTAATTACACCTTTAACCCTATCCTGCACCAGAAAAATCCAGTGCACACCCACATTTCCCAATATCCAGCATCTCTCCCAAACGTCCAAATCCCTACAAGATTTATAACTAAATTTTGTATGCATTTCTGATCACTCCCATACATGCTACATTTCACCAATCTGATAGAAATGTATAAACTTTCTCAAATCTGCTTGTCATGGCATTAGCCATCACTGGCGAGTGTCACAAGTCACAATATTATGAGCAAGTATTTGGAGGATCACAGCAGAGCAAATGTTTCCTAACAGACTCATACAGAAACCTCCTTCTGCTACGACTCTCCTCCTTGCTTGGCATTCACTTGGCTACCAAGATAACCTGCATATACAGTACATACCTCTGAACTGTGAAACTGGAAAAGATTGTTGTCTGCATTCCAAATCTGAGTACATTTGTACTTCAGTTCACGTCACATCTACTTTTTGATTGAAATGTAATGTGAGAGCCACCGACTAAGAGGACAAGGTGATGGTATCAATACTGGAAAGGGAAGGATGCTTTATGACAAGGTGGTTTCATCATCATAGAAAATAGAAATGTATAAAGTTTGCTCCTGCCAACATCCAAAGATTTTCAAAACAAGAAAACTTTGTGACTGGGGACAGGAATCTTTTGTTACAAGATTTTGTGAAGTCAAGTGAGAAAACAGCTGTTCCTTATCTCAAGATACAAGGCTTGAAAAACAGATACCTTTTCCTTTGTGACATGAAGTGCACTTCTGACACCTGATTTAACAATTTCTTTTCCACTAGACTCAGCAAGACAAGGCGTTTTCCCACAGAAGTAAGAATTTACATCATAAAGCGTGATACCTGATGTTTCTTCATCAAGAAAGTAAAGAAAACTTTAACACATGCTGTCAAAATGAATTCCGCATGAGTAAAATTATTGTGAAGAACAGTTAGGACAGCCAATATTGTGTGTTTCAGGTGTAAGTGAGATTAGTGTATAATACACAAGGTCTATTATCAGTAAAGTACGTACTGTTAATCATGGAATCAGCCAGTACAATGCTCGAAACACTCACAGCCTAGTCTAGTTGTGGAGAAATAGCGAAGACATATGACATCTTACAAGATATAACTGGGTTTTCCTCTGAATCCTGGGGGTTTCACCTTGTTTAACATAAAATCAACTGACAAATATACACATACATCAGAACATCATTTAAACAGCGTGAACCGGCTTAATCACTTTAACTTCACTTATATGGGGATCGCTGCCGTTCAGTGTAAAACAGTTTTCAAAATGCCTACCTCTACTAGTCCACTAAATACAAGAAATTCATAAGAAAGGAGAGGCAAAAGATGCCTTATTAAAAAAATCTGTAACACAAACATACATACAATGTATAGAGGTAGATCATTTAAAAAAAATACATTACTATCATCAACATCAACCACATAATATGTTAACAGCTTAAACCTTGCAATGCTGAATTTTGATGCTGCATAGGGGGCCAATGTAATCCTATGATAAGTTTCCTTTAATGGGGAGACATTTACAAGTGACCACATAGGAAAACTTGTACAAGCTATAGGAATAAAGGAATCTTGTATGAAGTAACCAAGGCCCCAAGTAAGGTTTCTTTCAACAGGAAAAACTCGTATAAGCAACCATGGTCCCAGGAAAATCCGTATTTGAACTCATACATGTAATTAAAAAACTTTCTTACAGAAAGAGGAAATTTGTTGAAATAACTGTTGTTTCAATACAGAATTAAGGCTGGAATGGTATCCATCCTTTTAAAGGCAGACTGATTCTGCTTCACCTCAAAATTGAGTATGATGCACTTAAGAAAAGCAACGACATGAACATACAAACAGAATTTCAAACAATAAGTACGAGCGAAAACTGGAGCGAAGGTGGCAGGAAGTACAAATCAGGATATCAACGTCGTTAACAACAGTAAATTGGCAATGTTATATAACTTACTATTTTTGTGTCCTTGCCTGAGGCTTTGTTAACTGTAAATCTGCTTCACATTTCTTGCAATATAGTGACCTAACGGCAAGAAGAGAACTGAAACTTTTCTACTTTACCATGTTTTCTTCTGCTTTTGTAAAATTCTAAACCTTCACATGGGTACAACAAGAAATAGCTATAACAATGGGATATTTAAACCCTCTGTTGGTGAGAGACTGCTAAACTTTCAAATGTTTTGTAACTCATCATCCCGTAACAGATGACTGGGTTTAATAAAATTTGGCACAAAAATGAAGCCCTTTGGGCCACAATGATGTAGTACATTTCTTTCGGGGGAAAAAAAGTATACATACTTATTTATTTGAATTGTCTTTTTCTGGTCAAGCTTGAATAAAATTAAAAAGAATGATAACTTTGTGGTTAGATGCAAACAGCCATGTTATTGAAGCGCATCTAAACACATTACGTAATTACAACTCTGTGGCTGGGCAAGCAGACATGAAACATCTAAAGTCCACAGATTTCCACGTGATCCTTTTTTAGACTACCATTTGAAAATTTTAAATACAATTTACAAACTGACGCATATGAAATTTGTAAATTATAAGGCAGTCTCCGAAGTTTGTTGTACATGAATTAAAGAATATGTTTACTGTCCTCACAGCACAAATAAAATACTATGACAAAAAGTACTGCACAATTGTGAGGTGATAACAAGGTATGGATTGGTGCATGGGTTATGAACAACAAATGCCTTGCATATGCATGGCAGAAGACAACTTGTAACAGTGCAACAGGTTAGAAAAGTTGTGCTAACACACAAAACTAGTAAAAAACAGCTTCCCTTTAAAGATATAACAACAGGAATACAGGTTCAACAGCTTAAGGCCGAGTGTGGCTGTCAGAAAGTGGATCAGGAAGTATTGCTTCGCAAGAGTACGACAACGGGAGAAACAACAACAAATATCGGGAATTTACAGTTGATAGTAGGCCCCAAGTGTTGATGGCTTCGTTAATCACATTCGAGACACTTGCTGACTAAAGTTTGTATGTTCCTTCAAGGAAGAGCTGCCAACTTTGAACAATACAAACAAGAAACATCAGCCCTCATCCACATAATAATTTGGTCCCCACAATGATAAAAATTCCTTAACCTATATCTTAAAGGAACTTGATGACAGACAGCATCTTGATTGCCTAAGTACACAGCTCTGTGATGCACACAGTAATGTTGGCTTCCCTTCCTCCCTCCGTAGCATCATTCATACAGTGGTACACTGCCTCATTATACAAATTTTTCAAACTTCGTCATTTGTGGTCCTTTGAATTCAATACAATGAGACATTCTGTCCTGACTAGGACTGATACAACAATTTTCCACGGATAACCTTTTGTATAAACGCCAAATCACAACTTGTCAACTCCAAATGAGTACAACTGGAAACACATTTCTAAAATGTGCCAAACACATTACAAACAAACTCAAGGCACAGGAAAAAGACCGAAGACCAAATTGCCACAGATGTGTTCTCACAGTTGTACTAACAATGCGTTATTTTAGATGTCCAAAATATTGCTTTCCGTTGATTAAAATAACAAACCGTAATACTGTTCGACAGACCATAAGCAACACCTCACTCTGATGCTAACACAGGTACATTATTACTGGAACTGTCCGGTCTTTATAGAAGGTGGCGGAAACAAATTACCGAACCACCTTTGTTTCTCTGTCACATTCCTGACCAGTACCTCTCTCCTGCAAGCGGGTGTTACGCCTCCTTAATGTGGATCTAGCAAAGTGTCATTTGTGATAATGTACTAGCTGGTCAGGCCTGCCACAAACATCAGCAGCAGAGCTAAATGAGTAGCGATGACAGGTAGTACTTGTCCGAGAAACACAAGTCATCTAACCATCTAAGTTACGGCATGGCGGGTATCTCCTACTTCAAATAATACCTGGTCCGATCTATGAAACTCCACACTGCTTGTAGATTCACCTGTAGACTGCAGTCTTCTAGGTTGTGATTCAACGTATACTTGTGAGTACCAAAACAGGAACATACTGACTCCAACTTCGGGGCCAAGTCCTCTGAAACACTAGTACCAACCTACAAGTCTGCATGGAGTAAAAACCCACAACACCACGTACTGACATATTCACTGCTACATGAACCTCAATTCTCAGGTAGCTTCAGCTGCTGATGTAGCAGTAACGCTCGCTTATGCTATGGGTGTTTGCCATAAAATAGTTCTCACACTAAAAATGTTCTGTACAAATGTACACAAACTGAACAAGTGAAAATGTTACCAAAAAAATAATAATGAAAGACTGGGCTGCGTTAAAGTATGGTAGATACAACAACGTGTACCTGAAAATTAGAGTTCATAGTTATTCTTTGTTTTGACTTCACATCAACTACACTCCACTGTTATAGCCCCATGTTACCAGTAATAATTCACCCATTTTCTAATATGAACCAGAGCCTGGTTCCTTCGTGTGGTTGGTCAGTGTAAGTGAGAGTTGATGCGCTCACTTACACACTCTTGGATCACATGGTGAGGTCTCTGACAGCCTGTAATATCCTTTTCACATGCCCAACCTTGGTGACACCAAGTTCCTTGAGGTCACGACGTCCCAAAGTCAAGAGTTCGCGTCCACGAATGTCATGGCGCGTGAAGCTTTCAGCATACTCGGACAGTTGCAGCGTTTCCAGCCACGCTGCCACCTCAGCAACGCCCCATGTGGCTACATCACGCGCAGTTCTGCTGCCACCTCCACTGCCACGTCGTCGAAACTTAAGCCAGAAAGGCCCGCGAGCACGGCCCTTCCTTTCACTGTACACCTACATTCACAAGGATATATCAGTATTCCAAAACGTATTTTCGGACGTTTTTCTTCATCCTGTTTTTTTGTTTAAACACATCTGAAAGCTAGATCTGCTTTAAGGGCAAGTGGTAACTATATGTGCCAGCTGCTTTAACAATCAGCAATTCTACATTTTCATTTAAGAGTTACGTATAATTCTCAATGTACAGCAATTATTTCTTCGAATATTATTAACCAGATAATCCTTTCATTGGTGAAGTGCAGTTATCTTTGTGGGAGGAGCTGAATTTATTTATTTATATTATCATTATAATAATAATATTATTATTTAGATTGCTCCAGCTTTAAAGGGTTAATAGGGAAGAATTCCTGTATGCAACTGTCGGTCTGTTTCACACGTTCTTACCTGTTCGTCTGACGTGTGTTTTTGAAAGTGCACAAAGCCTGCACTGTCATATGTCACGCACTTGTGCAATTCCATTTCTAAGTCGCATAGTGTTGTGCACAGTTCGCATTCCAGGTCTGCTTTCAGCCTCTGTAGACAAAACATTACGATCAACTGTAAGGCAGTGAATGATAATGTTATGTAAAAATATAAACATGTTATTAACCTCTCCGCGCGGACCGACGTGAAAATTCGTGAGGCATAAATAACCCCTAGTGGATATCGGTACAGTGTACGTCGGCTGCAAGCTTAATTTTTGTAGCCCATAACTTTTTAACGAATAACGCCAGCGGAATGCGGTTTGCACTGCTTTGTTCTGAAAAGATAACTGTATGTGGACATATGGCAACACCGCCACATTCCATTGAGTTCTACCTGGGAATCTAAAAATAATATCCTGACCTTCTCATTCTCATCATGGATGTCTCTTCGTCTAGTCGCGTACTTACAGAAGCAGAAAGACGTGCACTTCTAGAAGAAGTTTTGGATGAAAGTGACTGTGAGTATAGTTCGGACACTGACAGTGCAATAATAGACATTAATTATACACAGTTGGTGACAACTGGAGTTAGTGATAATGAAAGTGACAAAAGTGGTGGCGGTGAAATACACGAAGCTCAACTTCTGATCCACATCCTTACACTGCTCACACACAGGGCGTTCATCTTATAAGGTAAGATAATAAAACCATCTTTTAAGAGGATTTCAGTGAAATTTTTTTAATTATATCTCATATAGTTCCAAAGTTATGATAATTATAGTATTTTAGAGCAAAATTTAAAGGGACACTAAGAACGTATTACCCCAAGCTCGGACTTTAAATCTCTGAGGCAAAGGGTTAATTTTGTGAATGTTGGTATAAACTGTTAAAACACAGCAATAAGAGAACCAACAGTGGATCCTGTTGGGCACATATAACTTTTCTTCCATAAGACTGCATACTGAAGGTATGACATACATCTCAAGAAACAACAGCCTATCAACAAGTGCGGAACACTGGAAAGTTCCCCCACTTATACTCACGAGGTTGTGGCCTTTCTCACGCAAAAACCTGCACGTCTCATCATACAGCCGCCGTACGCTGGACACCATCTCTGTCACTTGTGATCGCAGATTTGGCTAAAACAGGAAAGAAAACTCCGTACAATCTTAATTACAGGCTTAAAGTTACTCTGGAATAGAAGTATTGATTAACGCTTGTGCTTGACAGCAGCTGTACGCTATAAGTAATGTAACAAATTTGTGTGTGACCTCTGAAAAAATAAAGTTCTCTATGGGACCGATGCTGACTGAAATAAAATTTTCTATAAAACTAATGTAGACCCCAATATCAAATTACACTGAAATTCATTCACAAGTTTCAGACACAAACCACACATACGAGCAAACATCCCAATTTTATTAAATTTGTGTACAAAAACCAACTACAGAAATACTACAACGGCTGTTTAAATGTTTCAGTAGGCGAACTGGAAAGAGATCATTCACGGTGTATACGTTTCTCTATTCTGATGGGCACGCATATCTTTAAATGCGGTGTATCCGAATCCACGCATTAACATGCAACTTTTGTACCATGTGGTTCCCGTGTGAACACTGTCTGTCAGGCAGACTTACCCCCTCAACAATTTTGCTGCCTGGATGTAGCTTCTCAATGTGAACGGCAGTCTCTGCTGCCAGCTTGCACAGCTCCACTGCAATAATGTGATGTCTTTTGGTCACCATCTTCAAATACCTACAACCAGAAGGATATAATAACCAATCCGCGCACAATTTAGTATTAACGGCATGTCACATTCTGTAAGTAGAAAGAAAGAATGAGATAGAAGAAAGCGTAACCACATCCATACTATGTAGGGACCATACCGCACCTAATGGTGATGTTACGGTTCCAGGTGGTGGGAGATAGTAATGTATACGACATGTGACAGTTCCCAGGATGAATGTTTCAATTCATCTTAATCAGGTTTGAAAATTTTCCACAGCGATTTACTTAAAACACTTTTAATTTTATGTTCTTCTCTCAAAACAAAAAGATCAGCTTCCAAAGATGCACTGATTAACGCAATGTCGTACTTCAGCATGCCAACGAGGACAGTGACTCACTCGAGAAGCATGGTAACAGCCTCAATGAAGTTGAGCAGAAGCTGTTTCTCTTCCTTACTGAACGGTGACAGCTGAAGCTTGCCCTCCACACCGCTCTGCGAGTGCGACACTGACTGTTGGTGGCGCTGTTTTTCCTTCCATGCACGTAGTGACATCTCCAGGTCCTGCCCAGTGAACAAACAGAATGAAGCTACTGAATTCTGTGAATCCTTTGCACGTCTTAACCGTACCCTACGGAAAGTGAAAAGTGTTACAAATATAAAAATGCTTATATTATTGGCCTGTTTATTTACTGACGAGTGTCTTTAATATGAAAATCTTTTAAAATTTGGCCCAATAAGCAGCCAACTAACTATTCTGGGGCAGAGTGTTTCCTGGACAGTAATCATGAAAGAAATTAAAGCCAAATGTTATAACTGCAGCTTTATCTGATTACTTATATAAGCATAAAACTTCATTTTTCATTCTGACGGAAGAGCACGGATTGAAAATCCCATAAAAGCAGAATAAGACTATGATGGTATAAGATATATCCTCATATTAGCTGCACTCACTCTGTTGCGGCACAACATCTGCATGCGGTTCTTGTGGATGATGCGGATCGCACCTGGCAATTGTATCCATGCTTCCCCATCTACCTGGACTGGAACACCCTCTTCTCCTACAAGACATGAATTACACGAATAGGAAGGCAAATAACACAATTTATCCTTCTTTACTATTTGTTTCCAGTTTACTTCAAATGCAGAGATTACAGAGTGTCAAGTGGATGAAAGCATTGATTACAAATGTTAGATGAAGTTATGGTGTATGATAGGCTTACTAATAGAGCGAATTAACCTTAATAACAACAGCTCTAACAAAAATCACACTTTGAAGCACCCACCTGTACCTTCTTGACAATTTATTTACTCATGAGAAATGAAATGAAATTTTACTTTTAAAGTTCAAGTTAATAAGAATGGTGAAAGAAACTATATCATTGTACCAGCTAGATATGAAGTGTGGACCACTCACCAAGAATCGTAATTTGAACAGTTTGGCACTGGGCGATGCGGTGGTGCTGCAGGTTGATGAGGCGAGATGCTGCCATCTGTACAGAGCCAAACACAGCCACTACTTCAAGAATACGGTCATCGAAACTTGGTGCGAGGAAACAGTCGTCCTCCTTGGTACCACCCCAGAAATTGGTCCCACCCATAAAACTGAAGCAGAGGAAAAGCTCAGTTAGTTAACCTGTGAAGCCGAATCTTGTCTAAATATTATTTAAAAATTAATTTCTTACCTCAAAGAAAACATAGCATGCCTTTATCAGTTTGTTCAGAGACTTACAAAACCCATAAATAAATTATGGGCAAACAACAGAAGTACTGAATATTGGAGCTGGTGCTACACGTAGATACTACTGGCCTTTAAAAGGTTAACATTATGTGTTGAGGTGAGATTTCAGGTTCTGACTGTTTTCCAATTTGTTGCACCACATAGTCTGGTAGAAGTTTACCAATTTTACCAACATTTCAGAGGTGTATGATACCTCCATCAGCGCTAAAAATTACAAGCGAAGATAATCCTACTTCATACCTACCTTGGAATGTTCAAAATGACAATGCCCTGAAGAGACGGCAAAGGGATTTGTTGTCCATCACATTCCAACTGTATTTTCTGCTCTAGGTTCTTGCAGGTTTTCTGCAACAATTTCATTAATCGTCACTACACAGTCTGTAACTACATTCATCTATGGCAAACTGAATCATATCACCATCATCATATCTAATTTTATTCAATAAGCTTCTGAGATAGGAGCATATTTCAGTGTAATTCAGTACAGTGGAAATATAAAGTCAGGAACCACTTAGTTTATCCTCAATCATCGAGGTAAATACTGGAACCATACCTGCAGCCATTCTTTGCTCCCCAACACACCATACCACATGTAGTTCTTGGCTCGGGAGCGGCACTTCTCAGGATGTTCCTCTCGCTTTTGGTGGAAGTCGAGCGAGATCTTCGCGTCAATACCAATTCCAAAATAGTTGTTCATCACTGCACTTTCATAGTATCCTTCACTGTAACATGACGGTAATGTATCACTCTTCTCGCTCTCAAACACACAATTTTAATGTTTCTGTTCTAAGATTATTATTCCTAAGAGAATTGCTTAAATATCTGCAAATGAATGATGAACTACAGAAAACAATCAGGCAAGCATTCACTGCTGACTGTGGTCTTTTGGACTGTGATGCCATGTGGTTTCCTGAAGATTACAGTAGCATCTTCCTTCAAAACGTTGGTAATGACAAACAAAACTACATGGTGTCACAATCTATGAGACTATCATAATATCTTCACTGCCATAGAAACCTCAAATCACCACAAGAATTTTTCCTTTGCAAATCAATACCAAAAGCTGTCACTAACCTAACAGAGATTGAAGATTTCTGTCTTCTGGGTTGTTGCGCTGTGTAGTCTGGTAGATGTTAATAGGGTGTGTGGGGCTATGTTTATAGGTGCCGGAATGTGAATGAAGTAGCCCTGATGACAGAGGCAGTATGACCTCTGAAACGTTGGTTAACATCGACCAGACTACACAGCGCAACAACCCAGAAGACAGAAGTCTTCATACTCACCGCTGTAAAACCTCAAATCTAACACAGATTGTTCTCATCTCTTGGTAATACTTACAGCAACGTATCCTCAGGATCCATCAGAGGCGAGGCAGAAGCACAGAGTGCACCAGCATTGGCAAGAAGCACCTTGCTTACGAGACCGACACCTCTACTAACATCTGCAATAAAGCTCACAACTTTACTGAATGTCATGGTTGAGTGGGTAACACTCCTGCTTCATATTAGGGAGGTCCTCGGTTAAAACATCAACCTGAAGGCTGGATATCCTGACTCAGGAATTCTGTTTTTTTCTCTCAGTATCTCAAGAAAGGTTTTGTTATCTCAAATAGGCCATAACTGCTTATTTCCACCTCCTTCCCAATTTATTGTTCACAAATTATCCTACCAGTTATATTACGCATAACCTAGAAGTTAAGTAAACCAAGATGCAATCGCAACCGGTCACCACATCTTTCAAAATCACTGCATGACATAATGACAATGGTAAATGTCATTTTATTTTATTTTTAAATTAAAAAATGGAGAAACATACAACATGACACAGAACACTATCACACTGGTCCAGTTCAGAATAAAAACAGCTTCATATCATAAGATTTAGTTCAGATTTCCAGTACAAAATTTTGCCAGAATGTCTTATAACAGCTGCAGACATACTAAGCCATGTTCTGTAAATGCACTTAAGATGGCTCAGAGCAATATCCATCTTAACTCAGCGCACTTACTTGGCCACATCGGCAACCGGACGAGAGGGTTGATGATAGGCAGTCTCTTGGTTGGGGCCCTGACCTCAAAGCGGTTGTCCTTCCCAAGGCTACATGACCTGTTCCGGCCTAAAGCAACTGAGGTACCAGTCGCTATCCCAGCATCTGGGGCCTTCAGTAGAGATGCGCTTGAAATACGCCGAGGAGGAGCGGAGGAACAGTCCAATCCTGAAGTTGGGGATGTCACTGATACTACAACAGAACAGCAAGCATCAAGATCACCCACAAATCAAACTGAGTGTACAATAAATGATGCTTTATCACCTGGTTTTTAGAGAAATGTTAGTTTTGGTAAACAGAATTACATGAGTAATCATATATTCCTGATGGGAAACAAAGATTCAACTGTGTCGATGGTTATATGGCGCAGACAAGAAATAACAGGATGATTATGAACAATGAGTTGGAAAGAATGTAAGAGCACCCATAACTAATTATAAGTTGTACTGCGTCATCTGCCTGGATGAAATTGCTCACATTTACACATGTTGTCCTCGGTGAATCTTTGTAACATCTCGTCACCATCGTCTGACATCACAGGTGATGGTGGGTTCACAATCACGCTGATCATAGGAGGGAATGGTTCCATTGGTATTTTGGGTTGCCTTGCAGCCAACGCCTGCCTTTGCTTTGCCTGACAACGTGAAAAGTAAGTGTTACGATGATCCACACACAATCATCACCCATGCCAACATGAGTAGCTGAAATACGGATACATGAAACTCAGAAACAAATTAACAAACGCCACGGAGAAGTCTTCTTCAGAACCGAACAACGATGCCCTAGCCACAGAATTCTCTGACATTTATAGAACCCATATGTTCATCAATATTTCACAAAAGCCTACAGAAACAAACACCTTTCATAATACTGTCAAGGACAAATCCCACTGCGGTTAGAATTATAAATCACACCTAAATTATGCAAAATGCAAACATGAAAGTAAACAACAAAACAAATTTGAAAAGGGACCAAGAACCATTTTTGACGTAAATACGTCTATATTTTAGGGTCAGTGTCATTCGGCAAAAATGTAACAAAAAAGTGTAACTGCATTGTTATGTTACCTAGCAAATGTCAATTCTTTACATGGCATTGTTGTTACCTATAAAACATTACATTACATTCATCTACCACAGACCCATCTTAAGCGTAACTAATTCAAGTTAAATAAGCAAAGTCTTAATCAAACTTATCTCAATTGTAAAGCATGTATAAAGGAAATATTTAGAATAAAGCCAATATATAAACTTCCTTTCCATATAGACGTATTTACGTCAGATTCTCCGGAACCGTGGTTCCACTATCACTTTTTATATGCAGAATGCAGTACTGAACAGTCCCTGTGATGTCACAGGCTGATCACAATACAGCATGACTGGACCTCTCTACTGTGCTGCCTCTTCTTATGCTTAACAGCATCAGCAAGTAATTAACACACGCTGAATATCCTGTTTCAAAATCTTGACAATAAAGTTCGCCGTCATTTGTCTATCCTATTAGCTTCTCAATTGACTTCACAGAAATAAAAAAAAAAACATGCAGGCAGAGAGACAGACAGCATGCAATGCCCTACAAAGATGTACTGAAACACGCACCTGTATGTGATACTGGAATAACTCCTCGTCATCTGCCTCAGAGGCCGCGAGGCTTGGTCTGTGTGACGCCAGGGCAGAACGAGATATGGGCACTGCCTCAGCACTCAGGTTATTGTTCGATCCCTGAATCTGGATTTTAACAGCATCCAGATACTCGCTGGGTTCTGTTACGACATCACTGTGTTGAAATGACACAAATTTGTTCACTGCACTTTTTTCCTTTCTTCCATCTGCAGATCTTATTTGCTTGTAGAATGCCTCAAAATGAGCAAAGCTGCAACTTTTCACAACTTTTTTCCACTCCCTATCCTCCTCCCATTCCGAATCAGATTTCTCCTTCGGTGACAGAGGAGAAATAACGTCCTGATCATCTTCTGTAGAAGAAGGTGTGATAAGTGTCCCACTGATATCCACAAATCCTGCCGTGGCAAGTTCAGTTTGCAGATCTGTAGCCCCTTCGTCGTTCGGATTGATCAAGTGTAACCCTGGGACTGCTGCGTCTTCATCCTCATCTTCCGGTTCCATTGCTTCAGGAGAGTCTATGTGGCACATATCTTTCTCCATATCCTTCAAACTAACGGTCGAAGATCTTCTTGTTTCATGGATGTCTGAAATGACTAATAAGTCCATTGTGGGGGCTTTGCCCTGAACATCTTGTGGTGAAGAGAGAGCTGTTGGTCCACTATCACTAACACTGATACTCAAGTTTTCATGTAACTGGCTTACAGCTAACTGTAACTGTTCATCAAAAGTCTTATGAACGCTTTCTCCAGCAGCAAGGCGGTTCCCCTTATCCTTCTCTTCTTTAGATGGTAGTGACCTCTTTGCCTCGTCTTTCACATCGGGGATCGCATCAATGGGAAGTGAGAGGAAATGTTGTAGAGGTTTAGAAGATGTCAATACAAGAGCCTGCACTTCTGTATGTGAGGGAGTGAAACTGGGAAAATGGCTGTCGCCATCCTCAGGGGGGATGAGACTGCGACGCCTAGCCTCCTCATCTGCAAACTCAACAGGAACAGGTAGGGTGAAGAGGTCCTCGCTGCAGCCTGAGTCACGACGCAGGTCTGGCAGTGGTGAGATGGCTGTGAGGAAGTTTGAGTAAGATGTGAGGTCGGGAGATGGGGAGTGTGAAAGCATGAGTGGGGACAAGCAGGGACTAGCTTCTGTGCTGGATAAAGATTCAACAGTTGGTAATACCTGCAACATGAAGATCAGGGTCTCACCATGAAACAAAACAAGTAGACAAATGTTTTGTGTGACAATACATAAACACTATACAAAACCAGCAACTGCATTCATGACCTCTTCACTACTATTGCGTTCAGGGCAGCTTTGGGGGTCAATCATCATTCTAATGTGAACAATAAGAATTTTAGACAGTTACTTTTAACTAAAACAAATAATCACTACTGAATTATAATAATTTACATGTCCAACACATATGGTCTGCTAATTCGGAGAATGAACTGTCTACAGAATCTGATGATAACATACGAGTGTGATATAATTTACTTTCCAAGATCCCTTGAAGAATAATACCCGAGTGTTTAAAACTGCAGAAGTGCGATCAAACCTTTCACAGAATAATTAATTACAAGACGAACTTGTCATAAGATACCTTGAGTGTGCTGATGGGTCGAGAGAGGCCCGGAATGTCAAGCGTTTTACTGGCCTGACGCTGCTGCTGGTCAGGGGCTGGTGGCGTGATCAGGAAGCTGGGACCAGCACGTGTCTTGTTCTGCTCATCCACGGCCTGCTCCGTGTGCTCCACCAACTGTCGGATTGCTTTCTTGAGACTGTTGGCCCGACTCATGAGGGCCTCCTGCTGTACAAACTCTGACTGCAACATGGTATAATGGTAGCACTGTGCATTCAGTCGCTAAAAGAGGCTGAATTTCAGTTTCATGCAATATATACACACACATGTATGAAGATTGAGGAGGGGGGGGGGGATCTCAAAGGATGATATACATATCACTCTGAAATGCTGTTGATTTAATACTATTATCCTGAACAAGTGCATGTCCAAACTAAGGATAAACTGGTGACAAAAAGACATATTTCATGGTAAGGTACAGAGAACACGCATTTGGTAAATTTTGAGAATTTTATTAGGAGAATTCAATGAAAAAAGTAGAGTAATTTACCTTCCTCGACTCATGGATGTTTGTCAGGTCCTTCTCTGACTTCTCGAGTACACTTTTCTCTGCCCCTTCCTGCAGCACATCAGCTTCCACCTGCAAATGTTGACACACGACCTATCTTTGCCCTGATCACAAAACGTTAATCGACTTCTTCCTTTTTACATCAGAAGTCACCCAGCTGGGACCCATTCTCAGGAACATCTGCTTTCCAGTTAACTATTTGCACCACTGACAAAAGCATTCAAATGTCTGTATGTGTTCGACTGATCACCAGCATTAAAAAATTCGTACAACTTTACACACATGTGCATATGCACACACAGTTACATATAACTAACTGTGAGACAAGATAGTTAAATGCAGCTAATTCCGTAGCAGGACACAATCCTGGGTCAGTTTAAAATAATAATAATATAATCCTGAGGCTTCTCCATTAAATGAAAACCTAAACATTTTTTGCCCCACTTAATGGTACCTGCACGTTGTCGTGGTGGTGGGGCTTGAGTACCTCAGTGATCCCAAGAGCTACTGGTAGGGCCTCCCTAGCAAGTTACTGGAAACATTTTCATATCGAAACAAATTAATGTTAATTAATTTTCAGAATCAAATTAAGATCCTTTATTAAGTTCTGACATTATAAAACTTATGAAAGTGAGTGAGTCTATACAAGCTGTCTGGTGCTCATTAATATATTGTAGAGAAATTTATTTTCTAAACCTGCAGGTCAGAGAAAATAAAGTAAAACAAACAATGGTGTATGTCTGTCTGTGTGTGTGTGTGTGTGTGTGTGTGTGTGTGTGTGTATATATATTTCTGTCCCCACCCACCGACAAAATCCATGAATATTACTAGAGGCAAGCCAGAAAATGTGTACTAGATCCAACTGCACCGAAGACCATTCACATAGAAATCCACTGCCTTACACCAGACCGGCACATCATAAAAACAGTGGATGAACCTCACCACATTCTGTAGCTCCTCCTGTCGCAACAATCCGGCTCCATCCTCCTCGTGCTGCAGCGTCTGCAGAAGGCAATCCAACTTCTCCTTCAGCATCTGGCACTTGTCTCCAAACTGTTGGTCCCCCTGACCCAGGCTCACTTCTGTCGCCCGTATGATGAAGTCCTTTACCGTCTCAAACAGAATTCTGCAACACAAACCACTCTGCATTTTCCTGTATCTGGCTTACCTGGAATAAGTTAATGAAAAGATTCTCTTGAGATGATACGACAGTGTTAATTTCAAGAGTCATACAAGTAAATACAGTAACAACATGAGCACAGTTTCCATTTAGGGAATTGATTTGAAATTCTACACCTAACTACCCCCCAAGGAGCAGATCCTTTTTTGAGAAGCTACCAGCAAGCTCAACTTGTCAAATTTGGCTTCTCTTATGGAACCTAAAGGTTTGTTACCATCTTCACGCAAGCCCACCACTGGCCTCTATTCTAACTAACTAACTAATTAGATGGCTTACCGAACCCGAAGGGTCATAACCGAATTAACCAAAGCCCTCCACCGGACCCTGTCCTAGGCCAACAAAATCCAGTCTCCTTCAACTCCTATCTCCCATAGATCCCGCCTGAGCTTATCCTCCCATCTACGTCTAGGTCTCCCCAGCGGTCTCTTCCCCTCAGGCTTCCCAAATAGTGGACCCAATCAACCAGATGGCTTAGGGAACCCGAAGGTTCATCACCGAATTAACCAAAGCCCTCCACCGGACCCTGTCCTAGGCCAACAAAATCCAGTCTCCTTCAACTCCTATCTCCCATAGATCCCGCCTGAGCTTATCCTCCCATCTACGTCTAGGTCTCCCCAGCGGTCTCTTCCCCTCAGGCTTCCCAAATAGTGGACCCAATCAACCAGATGGCTTAGGGAACCCGAAGGTTCATCACCGAATTAACCAAAGCCCTCCACCGGACCCTGTCCTAGGCCAACAAAATCCAGTCTCCTTCAACTCCTATCTCCCATAGATCCCGCCTGAGCTTATCCTCCCATCTACGTCTAGGTCTCCCCAGCGGTCTCTTCCCCTTAGGCTTCCCAACCAATACCTCTTGTCCCATCCATGCGCACTACATGTCCCGCCAGAAAAATTCAATCCATACCCCCAAATCCAATGTCCCTCAGATCCATTTTAACATTATCCTCCCATCTATGCCTAGGTCTTCCTAGTGGGCTATCCAACCAAAATTTTGTGTCAAACAATCATTCATTGCAAAAAATGAAACAGAAGTGATTCCCGCGACTATTAATAAATATGCTGCAAAAGTAGACACACCCTAACAGCTGATAGTTTTCCTGTATACCTTATTATGTTCTCGCGTTTCTAATCTTTGTGTCAGATGTACCCACTTTTTCAGCCTCTTTAAGAATGTCTGAGCTATTAAGCAACACACGAACTAGCTGGCTTAGGGGACCCAAATTAAACAAAGCCCTCCACTGTTATGAAGCAATACACAACGTGACTAACTTGGCAGCTGAGATGACAACAGAATATTCATCAGACTGCAAAATCTTGGCAAGAAGCGAGACCATTGAATCCTCGTATGCTGCAATAGTAAGTGCTGGGTCTGTCTGCGACAGCTTGCGGGTTGGAATCGTAATGCTTTTCTCAAAAACCATGATACTCCATCTGCAAGATAATTGGACAACAAAAGAATCAAACATGGAACCTCGATATCACGTGCCACACCATAAGATTCTCTAATATTAGGTTTTGACACTTAATTTTTATTTTCATGGCTCAATGAGGTTTCACTGCAAGACCAGCAATGTCTGGTTATACTGAGCAAATTTAATGTTTGGAAAAATTAAATTCCAAGCCAAATTTGTCTATGATTCTAACAAAGGGACATTATAATCTGGAGCATGTAACGAGCAGTACGATGAGGAACTGGTACTGCATTGGATTCTTATACTGGGCTTGCCTACACAATGTGCTGTATTCACGATAAACGAGACTTGTTGATACTTCTGTTCCTTTCAAAATTTTTATAAAATTAGGAAACATTCAGTTACATAAGAAGTATACTTCATTTTGTACGTCCTCCATGGAGAGAGAGAAAACATTTGTGAAACAAATGTGGGCTGCAGAATGGAGCATGCTGTGGAAATGAGAATGGATTTCACAGAATGGGTCGTCATTTTGGTAAAGACCTGAATTGGCTCACGACAGTAACTGCTCTATGGCACACACCTGTCCAGCATTTTGGTAGATGCCTTTTCATATTTCTCTAGGAGCTGCGGAATATGAGTGTCATCGTCACAGGAGCTGCCCCAGCCCAGAACTCGAGCCAAATCATTGCCTGTTCCCAACGGCAGCACGCCCACCTGACACTGCTTCTGTCAACATGCAAATGGACATGAAGAATTCTGATGCAAAATGTAAGTTAGAATTCTCTACTGAAAAAAATCACTAAAACACTTGACACATTCACCATAAATGCTAAACCAAAACAGAAGAAAATTGAAGGAGAAAGATTCAAAATTGAGATGCACTTACATGCATGTTGAGGTAGTCTATTTCAGACAGGACCCACCCCACAGAACCATCCCCACTGCACACCAAGATGCGGAACGGATCGAAGTGCCGGAAAAGACGCAAACTGCGGAGTAGACAGACGTCACAATTGTAACCTAACCAGACATACTTTCTGCAAGGCTTATGGAGAAAATGTCATGTCGACATACGCCCCACATCTCAATCGCTTAAGCAACTGCCTCTCGGTTGCATGAACAAAGTTCAATTTCTGACAAATATGGCGAGATTTCTGCCTTCACCACTTATGGAATCCAATGACGGATTTATATATTGATGGCATTAAATCTTCAGGTTCTAATACAAAAGAGTTGGTTGCTTAGTAACAAAATTATTTAGTTAGTAAGTTATTAATCCCACAGTTAATTATTATTTTGTTCTATTGCTCATTACTTAGTTACTTATTCAGTCACTTACTAAGTAATTCATTACAGCACATTCAACAAGCATTTTAACACAGTTTCTTGCATATAAAAAAGTATACGTGGAGAAAAGGCTTTCTCCCGACCATCCACCGGCACAGTACCATAACGCAACCATGATCTGACTCACCCAAAACCTGGGCCATTGTTAATGAGGTCAAACACTTGAGCCGGGTTCAAGTATTGCTTGAAGCGTCGCAGAAACTTGACCCCCTGGTTGTCTCCGGACTTGGAGTTGACAAACACGAGCAACGGGGAACAGTCAGGTGGCCTCACTGCTTCCCAAGCTTCATCACTGCCTACCAAGCAAATTCACGTCATATGTATGAGTGTGTCTTAAACCACGTGACATTTTAGGTTCTCGGCAAAAATGTAAATGTTACCTCCTGGGTTGCGATGTTGTGTGGACTTGTAGATAGATACCAATGTCTTAGAGGAACATACTACCTCTTTCTTTGCAGTATGTTCCTCAACAAAGATTGGAATCTACTTAAAAGTTCATGCACAGTAAATAGAAGAACATACCAATACTGTGCAGGGCAATAGGAGGCACGACACTAACTCTGCAGGGACCCAGCGGACAGTAGATTGGGTGAAGCGGACGACAAGCAGTGTGCACTGTAGTTCTGCACCACAGACACCGCCAGTCCTGCAGTCTGAAACGCACAAGCACTTCAATGTATCACTGGAATTTCTTTTGTCAGTAATTTGTCACCTGGCAATGACGTTCACACTGAAGACTGGCATGATTCAACATATTTCATACAAAAATCTTACCACAGGGAGAGTGGGGGGAGGGAGAGAGAATATAACATTTGAAAGAAAAATCCTTCTTACAAAATTTTTGTTTGACTCCACCACAGAAAGAGACCACTTAGGAGGCTACAGTTGTGAGGATAATATTAGAGTGGATGTTACAGAAAATAGGCTGTGAACCTGTAACCTGATTCAGGATTAGGTCCAGTGGTGGATGGGATTTTATTTGACGGTGATAAGATGAGTGAGTTACTCTGAGAAGACACTAATCTTATAATTGGTTATACTTTCTAGCATTATAACCTCACCTCAACACTGAACCACAGGTTTTATCACAGACAGAGCATTTGGCATATACAGGCAGGTTCCCCTCCATCCATTGGTGGGGCATTGTGATGTTCTGGAATACAAGCAATTTTATCTCTTATACTCAACGGCAAAGCACAAAAGACACACAGATTGGGAAAATTATTGTTTGGCACCTGTACCAAACTTTTAAAACTACAATTATTTTTCTGTACAATATTTTCAAAAATACACATACGTTTATACAAATTTGCTTTAACGCAAAACTCGAGACACAAAATGTTACACTAGTATTTTTAGGTGTACTGATAAAAAAATTAGATACGAAAGCACACACCCCGTCCTTGTCCTCGATGATTTCCTTGCCGACACTGGCAAGGGTGGTCCATTTGCAGTTGTTGATGGCCTTGGGTTCACATCGTTTGTGTACCTTATACTTGCACACCTCACAACTCAGTCCATGAGACATCACACCTGCACCAATCACATCAAGGGATGTTTCATCAACATATCTATGCAGAATGTACGACCGTACTGTCCAGCTGTATTAACCCATCACCAGACTCAGAAAGTGCAAGCACCCCACAATACAGACTACAGTAAACACTATATTTTATGACAGCTTTTTGTTTCCAATAGTGACTCCATGACTTGAGAGTCACCAATTTTTAAGTCCTAGAAGCGTGCGTAAACAAAGTTACAGCAAAATCACAAAATGAGTGACATCATTTTTTAAAATCTGGCATTAGAAATTAATGGAATAAGGGGAATAATACAATGACAAAAAATTAATTTTTTGAATAAGGATATTGTTAGACTACCCATGTCTCAAAACTTTCCTCGTTATCGATCAGTACGGCACAGTCTTAATACATATTGACATTATTAACATAATAAATTAATTCCCCCAGCCCAGTCTACTTTTGTAATCAGGCCCGAGTCCCCTGGGGCATTGAATGCACCTGAGAGCACCTCCCTGCACACATTGCAGTATGTGGGTCGAGCATGTGATGTGGCATACCAGCAGTGATGCCCTGACAGGAAGTCACGAGGGTCACCAGCCTGAAAGGAGAAAGAAACAATGTAGAAGTGATGGGGTTGGCGATACTAGCACATATATGACTGACGTCTGTCTGTCTGTAGAGAATTAACTTGAGAAACAGTGGACGGATTAGGAATAAATTTAGTATGAGTGTTGAGCCATGTGGGCCAATTTCCTATGATCAGTATAAGAAAATGGTGTACGAACGAACTTGTGAGGTGGGATTCACACTAGCGCCATTTACAATAAGGTCATACAATCATACATGGTTACAGATCTTTGGAAAATAAAAAAGGACATTAGGAAAGTAATTCTTTGTACAATGCAAAGGAACAAGCGGTGGTTGCATGAAAAAAGTACTCGATTGGAACTCGAACTCATTAACACAAGTGTACGAGCCCAGTGTGCTACAGCACAGCTGACTCACATTGTGTTACATTGTTATTTATTTATACCATTTATTTAAGAATATACCTCATGAACAGTTAATTGTCTTCGAGCATCCATCAAGTGGGCATTTACTAACTGTAAAAGTTAAAAAGTATGAGCTACGAGTCCATATCGAATTTCATGAAAAGCCTTGAAATCACAATGCAATAACGAATGCGTACAGAAGGTTATCACGGATTAAGAGCTAGGTTATGTGTGATGCGCAGAGAAACATGCGTAATGGCGTCGACATTCCATCTCACGACTTCAAGTAACGGTATCGTTAGTAGTATCTATCACAGAAAGTTAAAAATTAGAGTATGCAGCTCTCACCTATGGCACAACGTCCATACAAAATTTCATTACTTTCCGTGCAGTTATTCTATAATTATGAAATATGTGAAGTTTGGTTGTACTAGGTTAGGTTGAGTTAGTGATGAACATGCGCAGATCATCAAGTGCAATGGCTTCATCATCATTCCACCTCACGACGTCAAGCAACTGTCTCATTATAGAGTACAGTAAATTAAAAATCATGTTTCTGCAGGACTCACCGGTGGCATAATCTTAACACCGAATTTCATTAATTTCCGTCAGGTCATTCTCTACTGAAATACGTACAGACGGACATTCTGATGTGCATGCGTAATGGCGTCACGACATTCCACCTCACCTCCACTATTTCAACCACCGTCTCGTATAACAAGAGTGTGGAAAGTTTAAAATTAACATTAAAGCAGTCACCTGACGCACTACGCCCAAACCACATTTAATTAAAATTCTCGCACACAATACACGTATTAAGTGTATACAGACGGACATCACACTTGGAGGGTTAGTTATGTTGTCATCGCCAGTAGGTATGCACTCAGTCAACAGCGCAAATAACCACAAGAATTAGTTTACTCTGGAGATTGGTAATACTAGTCCAGGGAACATGAATCAATGAATACGTAGCGAACACTTGCATAACCCATCAGCTCCCTAGCATCCTGTGATAATACGTCAACAAGAATATCGTCTCAAAAGTTGGAAAGGCGGAGGAGGGGGGGGGGGCAGGGAAGCAGACAGTATGGAGGTCATATAAGACTACTTTCATTCCATACAAAAGTAAAGTTTAGAAATTGAACCAGAAAGAATAAAGATACGGATAACAGCAAGATTAAAACAAAATCAAGCATCTAATGACACTACAAGTGGACAGACAGACCCACCCACCTCACAATTCTCCTTACTGCCGGCATCCTTCAGCGCAGAGGTCCAGTCTTCCATCTCACGTCGAGCCCCTGCACACGGGACCGGTCGTCGGGGTGGGGCGATCACCTGTAGATACAAGAACGAATACTACTTACCTTTAACCCTTATACGCACAGCAATAAGTATATGTACCATGTGTTTTAGAAAATCAACAACTCCACAGTTTCACCAGTGTTTTGTGGGTTTCATAAGATTCTCAAAATAAACAGCGATTACTTCCCAAATCCATATTAACCAACTGGTCTTTGTAACGCAGAAGCATTGTGATTTCTTCGTAGTATGGGCTAAATTTGTAAACAGTATTTAGCTTAGGTCCTATTTCAAATGGTTAATGACCTCCCACATCAGATTTGTCAGTGACTGAATTCAAATAAATTTCCAAAACAATCGTCTAACTTGTTCAAATTTAATTAGGGACAGACAGACATGATACATTTTCCTCATGACATACAAAATGGTTACTCCTTTCTCTCTGGAATTAAAATACGCTCTGGGAAAGACTTTTCACCTCTCCTACAAGCACTGAACTTCTCTGTTTTTGTAAGACTTGAGGTTCTCACAGCGGTGAGTATGAAGATTTCCGTCTTCTGGGTTGTTGCGCTGTGTGAATATTCATCGCCCTGATGATGGAGGCAGTATGACCTCTGAAACGTTGGTAAACATCGACCAGACTACACAGCGCAACAACCCTGAAGACGGAAATCTTCTCTGTTTTTGTTAAACACAAAGAACAAACAGCCCACCAATGGACCTCAACCTGAGAAAGCCCGATCCAATCCACGCCTTCCAAACCTAATTTTAATTTTAATATTATCCTCCTATCTACACCTATTTCTTCAGGCCCTCCAACTACAATTTTGTATACTGACATTCTGATTTCCATTTTACAAAGCAATCACCTTGATAAAAGTTGCATACTTTTGAAAAACTCAGAAACGTTCAAGGCCTTCATCCTACCAGCGACACCAATGATGGCTACCACCTCAGAAGTTCTACTGAGAGTCATATTGCTATTACTGGTGGAAAAATGTTATAAGTACCGAGGTGAGATGGTCTATAATGGCATGATCTTGGCAATATATTTAATAAATATCCGTCAATTTTAACTTATCACCATTCAGGCATTCGTAAATAATCGGCAGAAATTATACCACCTCAGGGCGTTCCTTGCGGCTGGTATTGGGTCCCTGAACCTCACTTCTTGAAACCTATACCAAGATCTGAAAGACGTGACGACGGATTTCATCCGAAAACACCAATGTAATGAGGCGGCTACACATAAACTCGTGAAGATGAACCTGCCAACTGGGAGTTCCTAGTACTGAACAACTTTATCTGAACGCGACCACTCCCTCCCGCCATCCTGAGCAATGGAGAGTACTCCCGGTTAAAACTATATATAGTTTACCCAATCCTAAAACTTTTCCGGGGGCACCAAAACGTTTACGGGCAAATGGCTGGCAATTTTTGGTTAGAAAGGACCCCATAATTTCATAAGATGGTATATAATTCTGAACGGGAACGAGCCAGAGCAGTATTAGCTTCTCATCCTTGGGCAAAGAACTAGGGTTACGACGACACACACAAAGGGTTCTGAAGGATTCGCCTCACCTGGAAGCTGTGGTTCGTGGTCTTGACGTTGCACTCTGGGAAGCTGACGTCACTGAGGTCGGTGTCGTCAAAGGTCACAGCCTGAAAGACATTGGCGTATTGTTAAAATACCAGGCCAGATCCTGGGAGATGAGATGGTTCATGGGTTATGTATGAGGGATCGACCGAGGGGAGACGCGCCAGGTCAGAGATGAAGGCCCCTAACTTAGAACCGACGGCATGATTATGAGCTGCTTGGTCAGGGCTAAGGCACACCTCGTGGGGCCGTCAAAGATCAGCTTCCAACGACGGTGGAATGACGATTAGATGGAGAGGACGAAAGAGGCGATGGATCACGAATCGGAAAGTAAACTGTAGCAACATATTTTCAGATACGACTACAGATTTTTGACCGGAAGGCCTGAGGAATATCGGAAATGCGTTAACAACTGTAACAAAACGTTCGGAAATTTTAAAACTGAGGCAGTCGTAGCGTATTGTAAAATATTATGGAGATAATCTTACGTAAGAACTCAACAGAACCACTTAAAACCTCAGCGCATGGATGCTGAAGGCCAATACTTGAAATAAAAACGTCCATGATGGAAGCGGGAGACGTTACCGCTGAGATGACCTGCCGAAACTCCATATTTTTGTAACTGCTGTGTGTGTGTCCAGACAAAAGAAAAATTACTGTGCCCACAAGCTCTAATGACGTATGTCGGGCATCGGGGCAGCCTTCCACGCATTCTTTACGTCTTAATATACGTATTTAACATTAAGCTAACCAGCCTTTGTCCCAGGTATAACGGGAACAGAGCCTTTGTCGTTCAGTTACCTTTTAAGTCCAGTGGTAGCTACAGAATGTCCCTGAAAACATGAGTTTTTATGAATTAATTCCAGTTCGCTCCTCGAGAGAATGTACGATTTTCGTGCCATTCTGAGAATTAACAGCCATTATTTAATTAGGCAGCCTTGAACCACTTGAACGGAAAAAAAAGTGTTTTCTTTGCGGTACGGACTGAACTTTTTAAGTACTATTTGGGCGACGATAAATATTTATCTCAGTGGATATATGTAGTTCGAAGCCTCTCCTTTTAATTTGCACAGACTATACATCACGCTGGTGACGTCACAGCGCAAGCGAGGCAGACATATAAAGCCTAGGAAGCCGATTGTCCCACCCTCACACCACTGAGTTGCAAACTGCAAAAACAAAGAAACTGTATCTGCAGCATATCAAATTAACGGAACAGAAACTGAGATGACGTTCATGCAGTATGACACGCTGCCAAACGGCCAGGGGCAAAATCATACAAACGAGGCCTTGACTACCGAGACAAGTCAGAACTCGGAACATTCGAAAATGAACTATCACCATCTTCGTCGTCATAATTTCTGTTGTTGGCTTCGTAATAGCAGAGTTCGATTTCTTATCGCAAGGAACTGAAGTTAGAAGTACAGATTTTCTGTACGTAAAAATTTATCGGACATAACCTCAAATTTTCATACCATCACTGTGCTTTAAATTACTTCTAAAACAATTTTAATTTTTAATTTGTAGTACGACACATCTTCACACCATATTTCAAACGCCTAACTCCGAGAATAATGAGTTACAGCCATCAAACTGAAGTAAAAATATGGATGAGATGATAATGTTGCGTCATATTGTGTTGAATATATACTTGTTCAATTTTATCAGTCTAATCACAATAAAATATTATTATTAAATATTAAAATATTACAATTAACATTTAAATATTTAAAATATATATTTCGATAGAGAGCGTCATTTTAATATATTTTAAATATTTAAATGGTTAACTGTAATATTTTAATATTTAATAATATTTTATTGTGATTAGACTGATAAAATTGAACAAGTATAAAAATATGGATTTCATGCATTCGCCATGTTGGTTCCCATTTTCGGAAATACCGTCTCAATTTTGAAAATCGGTCAACCGGGAAAATTTCTGACTTTCTTCCTTACACGAAAGGAAATCATGTCGTCGCCGCGTTTTCCACCGCTTTCAGACGGAGAAAATAAGTTATTCAAGAAGCTTCTCGGAAAGGTCACAGGTCATGCGATTGATTCCGCAATAATGCCTGTCGACATTCATATGTTATGGGGATGCCAAGCCCGTTCATTACATTCGGCATTGATTGCGATCCACCCCCAAATACGCTGTAACGTTCCTGCCTAACAGAAACTCCAGTGCGCGCAGTAACTTAACATTGCAACCCTCACTTCTCACTGCCAAAGACCAGAATCCTCCTTCAGAAAACATGAAGATCATTACCACGGTTCTTATCTTCAACAAGACAAAAACAGACCACATCCTCACACTGTTTAATTACAATTACTTTTTATAAATCATAATTCCACTTATAACTAGGTCTTCCAAGGGGCGTCTTGTTCTCAGACATCCTCAACAAATGCTCTCTCTTTAGATGTCACAAGAAGACCAAGTTTCCCACCCATGATAAAGGAACTGAATAATGTAATATTAATTGATTAACGCTAATGTGTGTCTGTTGGCGTTATAACCCATTTTAAGTGTCGGCTTTTCTACAGAATTTCTCTCCGAAGTTCAATTGGAACGTCTTCGCTCCAAGAGATTCAACAACAACAAAAATAAATCAAGAATCTCAAGCAATGAAGAGATACCAAAAGCCAATGAAAGTTGTACAGGTAAGAGCGCGGTTAACATACGAGGTGCAATCAGAAGGTTTCCAGACTGCGCCTATAAAAACCCGTACACTTATCTCAGGTATTAAATTCATCCATCACCCTCGAAGTAGTTCCCCTGGGAGTGAACACAACGATCCCAGCGCCGCTGCCAAGCAATGGAAGCATCCCTGGAAATCTTTCTTTGCCAGCCTGTCAAGCACCATCTGCGATTCTGCCTGAAGCTCTTCTATCGTCTCAAATCTCCTTCCCTTTAGCTGAATTTCATCTTTGGGAAGAGGAAGAAGTCACACAGAGCTTAGAAAGGAAGTTGGGGTCGGTTCTTGCAAGATCTTTAAACTCCTGACAAACGAGAAGTCGATTCTGCTACTGGTCCTCAGACAGGAGCCTTGGCACAAACTTGGCCGAGATGCGTCGCATGTGGAGTTCTTCCTTTAGAATCAGCTGACAGGTCCCAAAGCCTATCCCAACAATGTCGTACAAGTCGTTGATGGTACGACGTCGATCTTCGTAACAGTTTCGGGCGTTGTGCTCGAAGATGGTCGTCCAGAACGCTCGTCATCATCGACAGAGGTTCGGCCATTTTTAAAACGTGAATGCCACACAAAAGTTTGTGCACGACCCATTGCGGACTCCCCAAATGCTTGCTTTAGCATTTCATAGGTTTCCGTAGCGGTTTTGGCGAGTCTTTGGCAAAATTTGATGCACACGCCATTCCGAAATCGCAGGAGGGTCGGTGTAATGCACTACCAAAACGCCCGTAACTAAGAAACAAATGCTAATTCGATGATGCCGGCTGGCACACTGATTCACTATGAATGTAGGCCGCACCCCCTAGCGGCAGAAGCTCGTACTACATCTATTGAAACAGTCTGTAAACTTTCCGATCGCACCTCGTAGATCTGTTAGTTAAAAAAAAATAGTTTACGTAACGTCATTATCGGCCAACCGATAGCTACCCCATGACATTACAGAATGAGACTCATGTGGGAAGATCAGACGGAAAGCAAAAAGGTCACCATGCGGACACTGCTGGTGTGCGGACAAGCGGAACACGCAGGGGAAGTTTAACAGTACAGTATTTGATGTGCTCTAGGGAAGTAGTCACGTGTGAAAATCAAGTTAACTTCTTTCCTGGGACACTAAGTTATGTCACACGACGTGCTTTCTGGTCATGGTGCATGGACGATACGCAGGGTGGGACCAATTTTCTTCTCCACACCTTCACAATTTTCACATCTCCTCATCTACAATGACCCAAATCCTCCTATTTGATATCCACAAGAAGCAATATTTCCCTCAGCATAACCAAACATATAATATTTATTGTCGTCTTATAGCCTCTGGTGTCGATATGTCGAATTTTACACCTGAAGATGGTTCGATGAAACCGAAACATGTTGTAAAAATGTTCCAAATGTAAATCGATTATTCGATGTGGAACATAAAATGATATTTTAATTATCTTATTTTATAAATTTTAAATATAATTGTGATTAGACGGACAAAAACCGAATAATTAATTTAATATTTGATTCACAATATGACGCAATTATACTATCTTATTTCACCGTTTATATTACAAATTATCGCTTCATAATCAGTTTTCTTCCTAACTTAATTTCTCCCACTGTTTCACAGCCTTGATGTTACTTAGTTTCGCCTTTGAAATAGTTATTTATTTATTTTTTGTAGTGTTCTGTCTGAGGACAGGTCCATATGAACAGGATCCTTCCATCCTTTTCTCGGACTGGGACCTGTTCATATACGTTCTTGGCAGATGATCCAGAAGTGGTTTGCCATTGCCTTCTTCTGTGTGTGAATGGAGTAATTGTTGGGATGCCACGGAGGAAAACTCCGTGTTGCCTAGACCACGGCCTTGCCCAACACAAGTTATAAATTCGGGCACCGCCGGGAATCGAACCCGAGACCCCCAGGATTACAAGGCCAGCGTTCTAACCGCTAGACCACCGTGGCTCTTTGAAATAATATCTTTCCGCTTTGTTGAATATTGTTGTAACCGATTTGTAGTGTAGGACGACACCGCCAGATCGCGTGCGTGTAACCAACGGTTTCCCCCAAACAATCTGGGTATGAATATTCCTCCCGCTGTTCATTGGTTGATTACGTAATCAATAAACGTATTAACTAAAAAGGACATGTGACATAGGGTTCGTCCTTGTTTAACGTCGCGTATATGATCGATTAAATCAGCTGTTTAATTCTGACACAAAAACTTGTTACATTTTCTTTCATACATGCAGTAATTAATATCATGCATGTAACTTTTACAAATTCAATTCTCATTTTTTTGGACAAAAGACCTCTCAATGAAGCGAACGGCTTTCTAAAAAACACTAAACCAACTACACGGAGCACAGCCCTACTTCAGAAACTGGCGTTCGCT